ACATTTGAGCTTTGAAACTTCAGAGTTTCTTCACTAAGCGTGAGGAGTAGCAGAAACTTTCGTTAGAACATATATATACAGCTATGAGAATACAAAAGCAGTCATTGATGCCAGCACTTCGGTGGTGTTACTACACAGTAGTATTCAGGTTCTGCTTACTCTTGATGACGACGTAGACTTTGTGAGTACTTTTCTCTTTTTTAACTTGCTTCTCATAGTTTTTGCTGCTGATATAGGATGTATGTGTTTCGAAAAATTTTGCCTGAAGTGTCGAATGTTAAGAGTCATTAAATCCATAGTGAATTGTAATATATCTTTAACGGATTACTCCGATATAAGTGTGAGAGTTCAACTATCAGTACATTCAAACGTAATAAAATATAAATATAGAAAGTGCGTTTGTCAGACGTTAGTTACACATATTAAAAGAAGAAGAATATATTTGGTATTGTATGTAATGTTAAGTGTAAGATCCGTCTAGACAGTTAAAGTAGTGACTTCACCTGAAACGAATGAATCTATCAATATACAAACGAGTATACTATACATATTGGTAGAGAAACAACTAAATATAAAAGGCGACTTGCAAGAGTATCAAGCATTTATCACGAGTGAACACACATACATACATACATATATAGCATGTTAAGTTACTGAAGGTTAAAATGCGTGGATTTCGCAGCCAACACAGTCATCTTGTGCGTACTATTTTCCTTATGATCTCTATACCTACCCCCATCTTCATCCTAATCCTTATCCTTATCAAGATCTCTATCCTTATCCTTATCACGATCTCTATCCTTATCCTTATCACGATATCTATCCTTATACTTATTCTGAACCTTATCCTTACCCTTATCCTTATCCTTATCCTTATCCTTATCCTTATCCTTATCCTTATCCTTATCCTTATCCTTATCCTTATCCTTATCCTTATCCTTATCCTTATCCTTTATACATATATAATTCAAGTCCTTTATATATTAATCGATACACTGATCTGTTTTTTTCTTCTCGGTACTTCCCTTTCATATATTTGAAAGTAATGATGAAGGCAAATGCTTTTATTTTTACTTAATTTTTGAAATTCTCTGCAAAGTGTTTTACATTTTTCGCATTTGCCCCTAAAGGTGAGAGTAAATATTGTATTTATGTATTGTATAAAAAATATTCAGAAAAGAAAATCCAAGATTATATAGAATATAAAAATTATTTCATACATAAAAAAGTTAATTGGCTTAATAAAAATATTAATTAAATTACACATCAAAAATAAATTATTAAAAACGATGTTTTATTGATTGCTTTTTCATTGGAATGCTGCACAGCGTTTGAAATAAATAAATCCATATTATGTTTTACAATATTATATTTGTGTATATTTATTTCCCTATTTTGTCATATTTGCAATTTCTTCTTTGAGTAATACCAACCTTTCATTCATTTTTATACAATATATAACTGCATGTATATACATATGTAAATAAGCTACTCAAATTAATTATGTATGTCTGTATGTTATTTATATCCAATATAATCTCAAAACCAGCAGACAAGCAATCAATTAAATTTGCTCTTTAATTTTCAAAGGACAAAACTAAATAATCGAAGCAGAAAAAATAAAATTAAATCTTTTGCGATATTAAAATAAACAAAGAGAAGGATTATCCATTTTGCGGTTTCAAAAAATTACTGAATTTAAAATGATTTTGTTCATGGCTTTCTTTTACCATTATAAGGTTTGAATTCAAGCATTATATGAGCAACACTCCATCATCAAAATGACCGCCTCGGGAATTTTGTAAACCTGGATCCGTATTAGGCAGTTTTCGAACAACTTTTAGCAAATAATGGGCGGTATCTCAGCCATAACTTCACGAATATTGATTTTCAGGTGGTCAGGGTATTTCGCGTAGCCTAAAAAAATGTACATTTAGTAGTAGGTTTTAACAATTTTAAGGCTTGTTGCGGTTACTAAGTGATCTATTTTTTAGTTTAACAGCTAAGTTGGACAGATGCCAAAATACCTACAACCCTGTATTTCAGACACACAAAATGTATATAAATATAAGATGAAATTACACACAAAAATCAGAAACTGATTTCAATTTCATGCAACGAATTTATCAGAAATTTTTAACAATAAGTTTCTGAGTAACTTAAACAAAGCGAGGTCACTCACAATTCTACAACCTTGTACGCGCGTTAATAAATAATGGTCACGCTATAGTGACATTTCTCTTTTCGCGATGGAGCTTAGCTTTTGCTCAGCTTATTTCTATTATTTCGTTGCTAATGTCTGAAATTCATCATTCGTAAGGCAACTAAGAAAATTTGTTTGTTACATTTGCTTTGCAATTTGTCAAGTAATTTATCATTTTGAAAGCTTGCGCAAATTGTTAAGCACCAAATACTGAACAACATGGACAGAAGGCGACAAATGTGGTAGCAGATGGATAAAGAACAGAAAAGCCAAGAAGTTGAAAGTAGAAAAAATTACGAATTAGAAAAAAAAAAATTCAGAATTATAGTTTATTCCAACAGGCTTCTGTAAAGCTGATGGATTTTTATTTCATGTCTGAAATGCACTGGGAGAGGGTGGCATGCCATGGGGCGTTCCCTATTAGAAAAAATATTTCTATTTTTTAACAAATTTTAATAAATTGTTGGATATTGATTTGAACAGCGTGTTAACTCGAAACGCTTGGCAGAATAGTGCACACTCTATTGGTTAGTAAAATATTGTTTTAAATAAGCGTGATCTTCGCAACTTTATAAGATCCAAATATATATATATTTTGACAACTTGTGTGAGCAAATTTCCACCCAATCGACAGAGGGAGCCACCTGAGAAATAAATAAAAAATACAACAATGAAGTCTGCCTTAAAACCTAATGTAAAATCACTCTTACCAACAGTTGATATTTAGACCAAATAGACAAATAAAAAGTAAAGTCTTATCTCGACGAGAAAAGACCAAACTCCATAGTCGCATGACTTCCACTTTTCATTATGGTGCTTGGGCCTGGATGACGATAACATCAAGATTAGTAACGGATAATCCAAGTAAAGGGACTTTTTCGTCGTGTCAAGCTGTCGTGCTACTTTTGTTCGATAATTATTTGGTGTTTCAACATAGAAAGACTTACGCCTGAACCACGTTTTCAAATCGTTCAACTTTATTACAAAAACTCACGTTCTGTAAAGCATGGGTTTCGAGCGCTTCGCTCAACTTTTGGTCAACATATTCAGTCTACTTAGCGTACTATTCGCAACACAATTACCTATGTTGAGACCCAGCATTCATTATTGGATAATATTCGACCCAATAGACCACATCCAGTAAGGAAAATATAGCTTACGCAGCTGAGTGTGTAGACGAAGAACGCCGACAGACGATTCGGCGCCGTTCCCATCAACTCGGACTGACGTATGGAACGACTTGGTAAAATACAGTTTTCCAAGAACTGAAGCCGCTTTACTTTGCCAAACGACAGCGCTTCGCTCAGTGGGCTCTTAGAAAGTTCCAAGAGATCCGACGCTTTCGAGCCTTTTCTTGCTCAAAGGGTGTACATGTAAACAAGCCAAGTTGTTGCATTTGGGACGACGAGCAAGAGCTGCCGAATCGTTTAGAAAAAAAAACAATTTGGTTTGGTTTGTGGTCGATGAAGTCGCCGGTCCATATTTCTTTAAAAATTATGCCTTTGAGAACAGTCAATGCCGACCGTTATCGCGCCATGATAACTGATTATTTGATGCCTGAAATTCGATCTGGTGATCTCGGCGATATTCGGTTTCAACAAGACGACACCACTTCCTACACATCGCATCAATCAATACATTTATTTCGGTGAGCAGATAACTTCACGTTTTGGGCAGCTCGATATGCCACCAAATCATGTGATATCACACCGCTAGATTTCTTCATGTGGGGATATGTAAAGTCTGAAGTCTATACGGACAATTCCGTTTCGATTCGAATTTTAGAGCAAAACATCACGTGAGCCATTAGCCAGTTACCAGTCGAAATGCTCGAACGAGTCATTGAAAATTGTTCTCAAGTGAGGAGCCATCTGGGACGTAGCCGCAACCAATACTTCAACGGTTACAAAGCGCCAAGGATATATATACATATATAGCCAGCTAGCGGCCGAAAAAGCCGATTGGTTATCACTGAGTTCAGAAGGGCAGGGTCCTGGGTGACAAAGTGTATTTCTGACATAAAACAAAAAGCTCCTTGGTCGTTCTGATTAATTGTGGACTCCTTTCTTAGTAGGAAACGAGCTCGGCCGAAATAATATTATTTTCTTTTCTTAACAAATTGTTGGCATAAGAAATGTATTACATTTCAATTCAATAAAAGTGAGAGCAGAAATAAGTTAAGCCAAACATATTATTTTTGAAGAAATATTTATATTTAGTTGGGATTTCATTGTGTTGCATGAGAAAAAATCAAGCAACTAAATTAATCGGTTGCCACTGCTAGTCAGACGGAATGCAAGTGAAAGGGAAAAATCTTAATTGGTGACCACTTAGGGGAATGAAATTAAAATGTGATATAATTGCAAGCATTTGCAGCAAAATAAAAAAAAATTATGCATAAGCACACGAACACTCAACTGATAGATAGATTTTTTACAGAAAAAAAAGTATACAAAAATTAGCTATTTAATCCAGAAAACAGCAAACAGCGGTGCATACATTGATGGACAATTATTTTTGTAAAAAAAATGAGCTTAATTTGTGGCTGTAAAATAAAATATTTTTTCTTTAACTTTCAATTATTTTGTTTAATTTTTTCCTCATCAGCACATAATAATTCTTGTTGTCTCACCGACACTCTGCGTCTTTCTACAACTGTTATAAATTTGATTGTGTTATGGAGAATATGTGGACAGATTTAATAATTTTACTGGCAACTTAACACCTTTTCGCATACTCATATTTATTTTTATTTAAACAAATGAAGGCATAGATATATATATATATACTTATTTACCTGCATAAATGTTACAAGAGGATGACCCGGAAGAAAGTTTCATTTAGATAGCTATGACTTTATATTATTATCTGCAATTGAGAAATAGAAAAAAATATAATATTTTTTTGTTAAAATCAGATAGATAAATAAAAATTTAAAATTCAGTTTTAGTTGCCAAAATTAATTAAAACATAGCCATTATTTGGCCCTGACGCAAAAAAGGAACGTAGTTTCACGGGTTAAATCATGATACAAAAAAGAAGGTAGTTTCACTCAATATAAAATTGATAGAATAGGATTTTTTGAGATTATACACGGTGTGCCCTAAAAATAACCGAAGTTTATATTTACGCCGTATTGAAAATTTGCAGCATTAAAAAGATACATTCATCCTCTTTCAAACGCACCTAACATCATGTAAGTTGGATGACAGGTGTAAAAGTGACAGCCACTTCAATAAAACCAAAAGTATGCTAATGGTTCAAAAATTAAATGGAACAAAGAGCAAATGTAAAATTTTGTGTCAAACTTGAAAAAAAATTAATGAAAAAAGTTTATTGTGATGATTGCATGAGTCGTACGCAAGTTTAAACGTGGTTTACATGATTTAAAAATGGTTGTGAGGATTTAAATGGCGCCCCTAGAGCAGGACGTCCAGAAACTAGTAATCGTGCTGAACTGGTGGAAAAAGTAAGAGAATCATTGGTATCGACGCAAATTTTACTACGAGAATGTTGGCTGAGGAATTGAACACGAGTAAAAACACCATTTGGAGAATTTTAAGTTGAATGAAAAAAGGGATTGCTCTCATCGACCATCCTCCGTATTCGCCTGATCTATCATCATGTAATTAATTTTTATTTCCAAAACTGAAAACCAAGATGAAGGGAGCAGTTTATGATAATATCCCAGCCATTCAAGCAGCCGTAACCGAGGTGCTGAAGAACATTTCTATAAATGACATAAAAAAATCTATGCATGCGCTGGTTGATCGTTCCAAACGTTGTGTTGAGTCAAATGGATCCTATTTTGAATAAATAATAACTTTCAAAGATAATATAATATGTATTTTATTTTATATCCAAAAAGTTCAAATATTTTTGGAACACACCGTGCATATTATTTTCATTTAAACTTTAAGATATTGCCACTCTAGAAATATTTCACATATTTTTTTTTATAAAAAAAGCGAAGCTTTCCAAAAATAATTTTATTTCCATTAGATTTCAGAAAATATATTGCTAAACCTCTGAGTTTTCTGTGAGCATGCTTTGTTATTCTTTACTTTTTATTTTTGGTTACATTGAAAGGTTTTGCAACTTTTTTGATATATATTTTTTAATACTAGATAGTTGAAAATATACTTTAAGAATGAAATTGGTAGCACAAAAAAGTCATAAAATCCTTTTATGTCAGATGGTTAATATTTCTTAAAAAATTTCTGAGTGAAACTAACTTTTGTTGTATCAGGGCCAGAAATGAGATTTCCATCATTGAGAAATTTTTCCAAGTGTAAACTGAAGTTACAACGAATGACCTATTACAGGAAAGTTCGAAAGCTATAGAAAATATTCATTGAAAAATCTTAGCAAACCAAAGTTAGGTGTTTGATTCTCCTTACAGTTCAATACAAAATAAAAACTTTTTTAAGAGTGTACATTGAAGGAAGAGCGATAAGAATTCTCTATAATGTTAGCCAAAAAAGTATTTATGGGTAAATGGAAAATTAACTACATTAAAATACAAGTTGACTCTTGGGGCATGACTTAGCCAGCGCGGCGTCCTCAGTGACGAAAGTTAGTGTAGTACAACAAAGTTCAAGTGTTCAAACTATGCAATATTTCTGATATTTATGAAAATGCTTTATGTACGTCTGTAAGGGCGATATGGACCATAGAGCTACATAAAAAGGGGAAAAATAAGTAATAAAGGCCTCAAGAGAGAAAGGAAAAAATTCAATAAATTCGTTTTTTGAACTTAATTAACCGTTATTTTGTTATTGAAACATGTAAATTTATATTTCATATGATCTTAACCAAAATACAAAAAACAGAAAATTCAAATATATTAACCATCTGACATAAAAGCTTTTTTTAGCTTTTGCTAAATTTTTGTGCTATCATTTTCTGTTTTAAAAATATATTTTCAACTTTCTCAACTTAAAAAAATATATAACAAAATATATAAAACCTTTAAATGTTAATAAAAAAGTAAACACAGATCAAAAATTCTTTAAATTTTATCAATTTGATTTTTAGTGAAACTACCTTAATTTTTTGTATCATTATTTCACCATTAAATTTTGTATTTGGCGGCTACATTAGTCACTAGTATAGCATAAAAATATCGAATAGTGAACGCTCCTCGGCAGAGATTATTACTGACATGAAAATATATAATCTCAAAAATCCATTCATTTGGGGGCGGCTTAGAAAAAGTGTCTTTATGCCGTCCTCAACAAACAGAAGATCATTACAACTCCAGAGAAAATAATGCCAAATTATAAAGTATATATTTGTTCTCTTCTACAATCTATCTCTTTCTAAAAAAAACCAATCAGGCGTCTAAATCCCAGCAAGTGACAATATAATTAAAAGTTGTAACAAAATCCGATTGCATCGTTAGACTAATTGACACATTGGTAGTGTCGGTAAATTATCACATGTCACAAATGAACTGGAAACACGCAAAGACATGCAATAAAACTGATGTAATGAGGAAATAGCCATCAGCACACAAATATATACATACCAAAGTCATTGACAGCTTTCTATAAGACGGTCTGTGGCCATCACTTCGAATTGTAGGCCTAAGGCAATTTATGAGCGCATTACTGTTTATGAGATCTAATTACAGCAACTGATAAAAAAAGATAAAATGCGCGGGTATTAAACTTGAAGAAGCAAAGACTTGTAGAAACATAACCCAGAAAGAGCCGCAGTAGTTGCGACAGTAGCAAGTTAGCTGTTGGCATGATGCGTGCATTTCAACAAGACAGAAAAGTTTCTAATGGCCATTGAAAATTGTGCAAATGGTTCGTCACACTCACGCACTCATCAACAAGATTGCGTTAGCGCACATAAATATGCATACTCATAAGCCAATTGTTCTTCATTGCATGTCTACTTGTAAGAGTCTCCTCAAAGGCCTATTGTACACACACACACTCATGGAAGATATTCATATTGTAGATGATTAAGACTACTCATACGTTCTTCTGGATGAGAATGCCTAACATCGTTAGGCTAGTCAATAAGTTAATATACCTCCAGGTGAGGCTATCTTTAAACGTGAGGTAAGAGGGCGCTGAATCAAGCTCAATCTCTTTTCACAGGTCGAAAATGAAATTGCGGACTTGAAACCAAAGTATAAACCAAAAAGTACTTTTGTTTGCTTCTTACGAACACAGCTATCATATCCCAAAGGAAAGTAAAAGTTACAGAAAGGGAATGTGTGGCATGATGAATACCTACGAAAGCATACAGAAAGAAATATTATAATCTACTATTGTAGGAAGAATTCAAGCACTCCGGAATCTCTTTAATCTAAATTCCTGTACCTAGAGACATATTCGGTGAAGTCGGCAACATCTCTTGACGAATCCAAAATGAAGACAATAATGTCCGTCAGAGGTGAGCAGAAGAAATCTTTATTCACAATTTGTACGTATAGCACAGAGATGGTGAAAATCATTTTGATTGATAAAACCCATTTCCATCTTGATGGCTGCGTCTCAAAGCAAAATTGTCGCATCCGTGGCTCGGAAAACCCAAGAATTATTGTTGAAAAGTCTCTCGGTTCTGAACGTGTTACTGTTTGGTGCGGTTCATAGTTCGGTGGGGATGATTATCAATTTTTTTTTTTTTGTCGGAATGGGTGGTACTGATCTAGACAACGCTTACTTTCATCAATACGGAATTTAATTTTAAATCAATTGATTTACATGAAATTTGATACAATAATAGCTTTTGACCCAGATTACCGGTAAGCGAACGTGTGACCGATATATTCAAAATAAATTTATATAATATATTTTTTGATTTTCACATAATTTGATAAAGCAGTAGGTTTGGATGAAAATAACGATTGGGATTACATTTTCTGCTGTTACTTTTCTCCAAGGTCAATGTGTGTAGATCTTTTCGGATATCTGGAACATAGATACATAGCTTTTGCGTATGCTGACATATATTTACACAAAATAGTTTGTAAGTTAAAAGAGCATCAACGTAAAAACCTAATAACAACCTTGAGTAATTGTATGAAGATTTCCAAGACGCAGTATTAATTTTAAATATAACTTTCAAGGAGAAACGACGGGATTAACAAAAGTTCGGTCAGTTTGCGACTTTCAATTTTTTTTTTTTTTTTAATTAAAAATACTAAATACTTTATTAGTCTTGCTTTTAAATTCTAAACGTAAGATACCTATTCTCAGAGGTCAGACAAAATTCCACTACCAACGGAAACGGTTTGAGGCGTAATTTACAGTCAATACAAATACTCAATGAATATTAAGTAATATTAAGTAATCATCTGGAATACACACCTGCTCGTACCACGAGTTTTAAATGAGACCCAAACGTTCAAGTGCATTTTGCTCAATTTTTCCTAAACAAATTTGAAAATGGTCAGTCTAGCAACATTAGTAAAGTCGTGACTGGTGGTATGATTCAGAAATCAAACAGCAGCAAGAGTAATGATGACAGTTTACTTCACCGGTCCTAAAATCGTGGCTGCTATTCCACTGAAAAATGAGTCAGACGTTAACAGCAAAATGATACACCGAAGAGTGCTTACCAAAAATTTAAAAAAATTTGTTGGAAAGATCATTTGAGACCCTACTTTTTACATCATGGTAACGTGACATCCTACACAGCTGAAATAACTGGTAATTTCATTGTGACCTCTTTGATCGATGCAATACGTCCAGCACAATATTTCCCCGATACAGCACCTTGAAATTTTTGGTTATTCCCATAATTTAAAAAAAATTTAAGGGAAAGATCTTTAATAGAAATGAGGAGATAATTAATACGGTTAATGCTGAACTTGATAAGGTTAAAGCAAGATTTTGAAGACTGTTTTC